GACAGACTCCATGGAACAAATTCCGAGTAAGCAACACCACACACAGCCATCTGTGTCTGCACCTGATAGAAGAAAGTGTGCTTCCTTTTTAGGTGCAGGTTACCGTCGATATCCTCCAGGCAGAAGTGGAGTCATTTACTGCCCGCTGTATCGTGTGCGGGAGCCGGAACCCGTAGTGACGTCAGCGCTCCCTCCGTACGGGTGGTGACGTAATTACGGCTTCCGGCTCCCGGATTGAAGAGTTAAAAAATTTTCAACTTTCTCCTTCGCGGGTCGTGACGTAGGTTTCCGTATTTTCTCCGCGACCAGTCAGCGCGGCGCACTTCCCTCCTTGCCACCGGCGTTCACGTGGTTCCGCGTGCGAATGCCTCAGTCGCTCCGTGCTTGCTTGCAAGAAGAGCTCCGGCGATGGGGGGAGAAACTTCCCGCCCGTCTCCGACGCGACTTGAGGAAAGCAGCTCAAGCTGCTAAGAAGAGTGCCGCTGCGTTTGACGTACCCGAGAAAGCCTATTAGTTAGCTAGTTCAGCGGTACCCCTGGATCTACGACAGGTATCGTAGCGACCACAAGGACCGGGACAAGTGAAAGAGCTCGATACTGCTTTTAATAATTTATTGACACTGTTTCGGAGACACAGGAGGTGGTTGCAACCCAATGAAACGGCATCTTCAATGCAAATATGAGTGGCCTTTAGAAAGGCCGTTTGTAGAGGCAAGCAGTGGTTGACTTGCTGGCTGCAAAGAGACCGGAAAGGCAGTGGGATGTTATTAATAAGCAAATGTGCTAAGCTTCCAGCTTTGAGGGCATGCTTGTTCACTACAATTGTAATGAAGCAACTCATTTGTTCATTTTCTTTTTTTTATATACACAATGTTTTACCAGTTTCGGGCACTCTGCGACCGACAAAATCTCCTCCCCCTTGAAACAAACTCCTGGCTACGTTTAACGAGAAAAGAGTCAAAGTACAGGCTAGCTGGTGGAAGTCAACCATTTCGTCGTTTACCCTGAGACTGGGGGGGTTTTCGTCTGTTTTTCTGTTACTTCTGTCTGTCTGTTTTTTCTGTTACTTCTGCTCTTCAAAAAATCCCCCAGTCTCAGGGTAAACGACGAAATGGTTGATCCTGGCTACGTGCCTAGCTGCAACCATTGTGCGTGCGAGCTACATCCGACACTTAAAAGGTTAAAAAGGTCAACGACACTGGTGCACGCTGTAGACCAGTTTTTAGGCAGTACTGTACGACCGCTAGCCTAGGGTCTTTAACACCCGTCACGCAGTAGTGAAACACGAACGTCTGCTGGTACGATGCTCATCCAGATCGAAACGGGCAGGGGTGGGGATTGAACCCAAGATCCCTGGGTTCTGCAGCGCGAGCTTTCAAGCAGAATTCACTTATAAGCAGCTTGTAAGCACATATCCTAGCTAGCACAAAGGACAAGGAAGCACAACGGGCTTCCCCCATACATGCACTCAATGGAGCACAACACCGTGACCAGATTTAGTGGACCGAAAGAGTGTGTCGTACGAGCTGCACATGTGCATGCCATTGCTATTTTTTTATAGCACAGACGAAATAAAATTTGACAAGCATGTGACTGTTACGAAAGCTGCTCTCGTGATCCTGCCGCGTTAAAGATGATATAAACGTGCAGTTCACACTGAAAGAATAAAAACACAGAAAATACACAAGGGACAGACACACACAGTTTTTTCAACGAGCAACTACATTTAAATGATGCCCATTACACTATGATGAACCACCTTGGATACGGAGAAAATTAAGTGAAGACTGAAATACTAGAAGGTACTAGAAAAAGGTAAAGAAAAAGGTAAAGCTGGCGGAATTTAACTTCCTGAAAAGGAAGAAGAAGAAACGGGAGATATTTTCTATGACAATTCCGGCGCTAGGAAATCCATCTCTGCTGTCGATAACGACAGTGAGGTCTCGGAAACATTGTCTGTGGCAGTTTTGATCTTAAAGGCTTCGATGATTTCTCGCCCATACTTGTCTTTGTGTGAGCCTAGCACAGTAGTGTTTGCATAGCTAGGAGAGCAATCTTGGCAGGTGCGGGCGTGGACAACAATCGGATGGTAGGAGTCGGATGACGCCTTGTTGGTTTCGAGAAAGTGTTCTCTAAGGCATCGTCCCGTCTGGCCAATATATTGACTGCCACAACTGAGCGGAATAGAATAAATTGGCTTCTCTTGGCATTTGACGTATTTGTTGACGTGTTTGATGGTGCATTCTGGTGGACGACTTTCGTTATTTACCCTTTGGCACATTTGTTTTAGCTTCATCCGACATGTGAATACTACCTTCGTGTCGAAGCGGGCAGCGAGACTCTTCAGGCGGTGGGAAGTATTATGCACATATGGAATACAAGCCGGGCGTGTGTGGCTGCGTCCATTGTTGTTAGATGATCGGCGGTTGGGCCCTGTAATGAGATGCTGAAGGGTAGTACGGAGGAGGTCTGCTGGATACCCGGCTCGGAGAAGCCGGTCATGCTGACGTTGGACGCTTGTTGATGAGAGATGGGGACAGGATTTTGAACGAGAAGAGGCAAACAGGGTTCGAATAATTCCAAGCTTTACCAATTTAGAGTGGTTGCTGCAGAAAGGGAACGATATAATATATAAATAGATATAAACATGCTTTCACTGCGGGAGCGTACGCTCCAGGGCCGGTTTTCTCGAAGCGATGGTGAACCCATTTTGGTAAACCATCGTGCCTAGGAAGGAAAAAGTACCTAGGTACTGTAATAAATGGCTGGATATAGAATATAACAATAATTATTTTTGATTGGGCAGTAAGATGCGCCATCTATCGGTAAAACAAGCCAGTCATTTTGTTTATCCTCTTTTTCCGCTGGTTGTTATCGATCTAGTATGGTGTTTTAAGTAAAAATATAGTAATGTTGTACTTGAAGACCAATTTATTTGCTTCAGATGGTACGAAGAAATTTTAGCTACTATGCTAAAGTTTGCCGACGAATATTCGAAAACGTAAGAAACATTTCCTTCAATATGTTTCGCCATAAACAGCGCATAACTTTCCCGTGTGCCTTCCAGTCTGGCAACGCCGGTGCTGTAGTATCGTTTTTGTTCCTTGCGATGCACGTTTCTGCGATTCCTGCTGATCTCAACTGTTTGCCCCCTTTTCCTTTTGCCCAACCGATCCACCGGTGACGAGAAGCAACGCTTCTCCTCACCGTTGAATTGCTGGTCACCGGGGATATGTGGAAACCTCGATGCTGTCGGCATACTGTCGGCGCACTGCGAACAAAAAAAAAAAAAAAAAAAACAGTACAATGTCCCAGCTGTTTACCCGGAACGAAGACTTTATTGAGGATAACTCCCTTTCTTCGCAAAGCAATCGCTGCTCACGAGTTGGCGTGCATAGTGTAACAAATTAAACGCGTCAGTATAAATTTATACCAACACTCGTTCGCAAAACATTTTTTTACTCACAATAAAAACATTTGCAAGGCTTATGTACCGTCATATGTCTTGGATCCCGGACTGCTGAAGAGTGATGCGTTCGCGGGATGCTGCCGTCGGTTAGTTTAGTAGTCCCTCTGAATTACCGCTTTGCTTGACGTGCTAATAGGTTGATGGTGCGTCATTGATATAACAGCCGGATCGAAATGAATGCTCAGCAGAACCAAGAAGAACTATTAGCCCTCGTTAAGCGACGTCGCGGCCATTTTGCTTGTAAGTACTGGGGTGCTATGTTGCGCTTTTTGCACTCCCAGGAGACTTGGAAGAGGGAAGTGACGTCAACGACACAGCAAACGCAGATTGGATGTTGACAGAAGAAAACGAAATCAACACCCAATCTGCGTTTGCTGTGTCGTTGACGTCACTTCCCTCTCCCTAGTCTCCTGGGAGTGCAAAAAGCGCAACATAGCCCCCCTGCTCCTCCCTCGGCGCCCCTGCTCTGCCAGTCAGGTGACCTTGAATTCCCTCTTCTAGGGACAATAGTTAACTTTAACCCACGGTTCGCGTTCGAGAAAACGGGCCCAGGTGAGTATTCCTGCGAGCGACGCGCGTCCCATGTGGAACACCACTTGATATATAACATGAAAATAATCCAAAATAAAAAGCAGCACACCCTACCTGGCTCGTGACATTCGGAAGCACTCAAAGAATTCCCGGCCGTCGGGGTCTTCGAACATCTGTCTCACGATGGTATTTTTTTTCCGAGGCTTCAGGAGCTCGCGGACGGCATTTCGCTTCTTCTTTTTCTTCACGCTCCGTAGTACTGCTCACACGCAGCCGCGAAAGTAGTCAGCCGACGCCAGTTGATAGTTCTTGCATTTGTTCCGCACCTCACTACACAAAGGTTCATAAGTGAGGCAATTCGAGCTTCGTAGCCGGGATCCTGCTGAGACGACGCCATCACGAAACAAAGCGAGAGACACTCTAGACGGAGCGCGCCGCGCGCGCCCGGGCTGCCCGGGCGAGGACCCGGCTTGACGACAGCCGCTGATTGGTTGCCCGGGGAGCCGCCGTGACGTCAGCTCCCGTATACGGGGACTTGACGGGGACCCGTGCCGCGCGCCGTTCAAATCAAACCGTGACGTCAGCTCCCGTAAACGGGAGCCGGAAGTGATTACGTCAGTACGGGTTCCGGCTCCCGGGTTCCGTACTCCGAGTCTGTAACTCCATTGCTGCAGCATGCACAGCAAAAAAGACTTTCAGGACTGGCAGCGATGTAGGGGTTTCTTCGTGCTCAAATAAACCCCCGCTTTGCGATGTGTGAAGTCGGTGCGATTTTTTAACATGACATCGACATAGCTGGCAACTGCATCATTCTCGTGCTCGAGATCCCATGCTGTAGCTGAACTCGTGAAGGTATTCTGTTCAAGATAGCAGATTTCTTTCAAAAGGCTTATTGAAGGCAGGGTCACACTAGTTGAACAGACACTTTTCATTGCTGATGCAGTAATACTACCTGCACGATATGAATACCACTTTGCACATTTTGACTGTCCCCATTTTACTTTTTTCTACATTCGCTACCATTTCTTCACTGATGACAAGTTCGGCCAGCACCTTGTCTGCACGGGAAACGAGAGCTGCAGCAAGTCCTCCGACCGTGCTTCTGCACTTAACAAGTTGCAAAGAAGGCTTGGTTCTCCCCTACAATGTGGGTCGAACCTACCACTGTACTGCGGGTGGATCATGAAGAGTGCAGCTACAGCTCCAGCATCTGAAAGTCTGGAATGGAAGATTTTAAGCTCTTCCTCTGTTGGAGCAGGTGGCACAACTGGGTGCGATGGTGGCACGACTTCAGCATTCAGCCTCTGGTAAATATCCATTTGTTTTTTTTAGAATATGAAAAGTCAATGTCCCGAAGCCTTTTCTACTGCGTCCCAGGGCTGTGTGGAGGAAGCGAGACGTTTTTCTTTTCGTGCACGTTCTTGAGTTTCTGAGACGCACTGCTGTCTGGAGATCGAACAGTGTTGGCCCAATGTGCGAGCAGACTTCGCCTGCTTGTTCCATGCAGGTGCAGTGCGCTGTGATGACGCTTCCGTCAGTGTCGGCCAGCAACCAGGCCTTCAGTGGTGCCTCTCGCAGCCGTTAGGAGCGGCTGATTTAAGAATGAAGTGACACATTAGAAGCTTGTTACGCATGTAAGGCTTCGATAAACTGAATTTACATTGGGTTTATGTCTTTACTGCGAATGTGTCAGTTTCCGTTCACAATTACATTTCTTGCAATTAACAAACGCTTGCTCTCAAGCGCAAGTGCAACTCAGATCTGACCACATTTGCAACAACCAATGGATCTCGTTGACTCGTAGGGACCGTGGGCCGTGTGTTAACGACACAATTTTACAGCACAGGAACCAATATTATAATTTGTTGCGATCAAATAAACACAGTCGCACTTAAGCAGGCAGATTAAGGAACAATGGTCAACCTACCTCGCTCAGAACGACGATACGCTTGGATGGTAGCTGCATCGTTATGAGGCCCTTCAGCCATCCGCTTGTAAAGTAATTCTGGGCCCCTAAGGACGTGTAGGCCTTCATCTGTAGCAGGGATATGTAGTTGTCGATAAAACCAGATAGTTGTGGCTGGAAGGAAGTCCGCATCTGATGTCGCATTCGTTCCCACGCGTAGTGTGCAGGGATCGACGCCGTCGCACATAACAATGATATTAAATTAGCTCGGTTATGGAACTGCCCGTAGGCAGTGCTTGCACGAGCCCAGTACCCCCCCCCCCCCCCCACCACTCACCACGACTCGCCTTTCACTGTTCGACGCGCCGGACGGCACCTATGCTGGCTGCAGTGTATTCTATAGAATACGCACGTTTCGAAGCACAGTCTCTAGATGGCGTTCCAGCTCTGTTTTATGGAACACACCGTTATGAAACGAAAATCTTGATGGCACTTCAAACGACGGGACGCGGGCTGGAGTGAGTGAGGGGGGGGGGGGGTATTTCTTTTGCAGAAGTTCCACAACTGAAGTAATCTACTAATGTTGGCACCAAGGAGGTTATCATATAACTTCCGGAGTGTAGGTGGCGCCCTGTAACTGACTCCAAAAACGCCGTCCGTTGCCATCTTACTCAGGGCAAAAAACGGATTGAGGCACTCTTTGGCATAGTACGACCAAGGAGGTTTCTGATGTGCTGTCTGGTGTTTCATGTGCGACGTTTCGCTGCAAAGCAACTGCAGCTGTTCCCTTAGGCGATGGTGGGCTCCTGCGTCGCTTTTGGCTGTGTAAATCGCGTGTAAATGCCAGGAATTACTTCGCATCAATAAGTATTGAGCAAGCACGTAGTAACCAATCTCGCTCGCTCGCTATCGCTTACTGCTGTATGGGAGTAGGCTCACGGGAGAAAGCGCGATGATTTTGTGCATTTGAACAGCAAAATAGCCTTAAGCATGTTTGCACGTCGCAGGTTTCCCAAAGACAGCACTCGACGATCTGCATGGGAGCGTGCTGTTCGGCGGGGGGATGGTTGGTCGCCTAAGAATACTGACGTTCTGTGTTCAGTATACCTCGAAGCAAGGGCGGATCCAGAGGATCCCCCAGGGGGAGGGGGGTCCAGGATAAAAAAAAAAGAGGGAGCGGGGGGGGGGAGGGAACACTTGCTGCCCACCTCATTGTGTTTTGGATCTTTGTCTAAACACGCGCATAAATAGGTAGAGAGAGGTCTTTCCACCTCAGCGACACAGAGTGTCGCAATGCAAGACGCGATTGCAATATTTCCCGCTTCGAAGCAAGGAATACCGGATTCTTGATTTAAAGGGGCTGTGGAACAATTTCAGTGCTTTGCTTAGATAATTTGGGAGTTGGTGTCTCGACCTTTCGGAAGTAAAGAACAAAAACCCGCTTTCGCCTGCATGTCCTAGTTTTTATTTTAAAAATAGACAAAGATTGAGGTTTTCAACACCCCTCAACTCCCCCACCATCTTCCCCGCAGGGGGCACCTGTGAACCGCAGGTGTTTGGAGAGTGGCGTCTCCACGGGCCCCGAGCCATGCGGGTTCGCCCGCCCACGTCTGGCTGTGCGTGGCTTTCCCGTGTCTGGGGAAAAGGGAATCCTGGTGGTTGAGCCGAGCCCGGGGCAGGTTTGGACCCTTCGGGGCCCCCCGGGTGAGGCAATACACCACTTCGGCCCCCGCTTCTCATAGACGGGAGTCCTGGTAAGGCCCGGCCAGGATGATTCAGTCTAGTCGCCAGTTCTTCTACTATCCCTTCCGATCTCTCACTTTTACCTTTCCCGTTTCCTTTACTTCTCTCTCACTTATCTCACTCCTTTTTCACCCCTCTTTGGCAGCAAGGGCTAACCTTGGGTGGCAATGGACCTCTGTCTTGACCCACACTTGGGTATAGTTTCCCGGCAGCACCGTTAGCGTAACGTCTCCAGCCAAGCCCTTCTTGTTATGGTGCGTTACCTAACCCCTTGTTGGGCTCGGTGGTGGGCGGTGCACCGCGGATTCTGAACACTCTTTGCCCTCCTATGGCGCCCCACCCCTCTAAACCCTGTTCAGGGCAAGCCTTTAAAAGGCGTTGTCTTGAACCCAAGACCACTGACAAAGATCCTGAAATCGAAACATTTACAAAGTTTTTCATTGTTCATTCGCTCGATGAACATAAACCCGTTGCAAAGCAGTCGCCTTTTGTTGTTGCCAAGGTACTGGAAAACCTTGTCGGGTTCTCCTACAAGGCTAAAAAGCAGCACTCCGGAGACCTCTTAGTGGAGGTAACCACCAAAAAACAAAGTGAAGCGATCCTGAAGTTGACTAGTTTTCTTGATGTCAAAGTGTCAGTTAGCCCTCACCGCACGCTCAACACCATCCGTGGGGTCCTCTCCGAGAACGACTTCTTGCACACTAGTGAGGAAGAACTCCTCGAGGGACTCCAAGGTGTTGGTGTTGTTGCTGTTAAGCGCATTATATTCCGAAAAAATGGTGAGGAAATCCCTTCCAAACATGTCATTCTTACATTTGAACGACACACACTGCCAGAAACGATCAATGCAGGATACCTTAATTGCCGCATCCGCCCCTATGTCCCCAACCCCCAGCGGTGCTTCCGTTGCCAGCGCTTTCGCCACGGATCGCGCAGCTGTCGAGGGAGAGAGACTTGCGCAAAGTGTGGCAGCCACGACCATCTAGCAGACATCTGTGAAGATGCCATTTCCTGCGCCAACTGCAAGGGTCCTCACCCTGCCTACTCTCGCTCTTGCCCCTTGTGGCGACAAGAGAAAGAAATCCTTACTCTGAGAGCCAAAAAAAAACATATCGTATCCCGAGGCAAAACAAAGATTCTCTTTTCTTTCTAAAGGCACATACTCCGACGCGGTGCGCAGGGGCCCTCCACCGCGAACGGAATCGAAGGCCACCCAGGTCTCGCCTGAAGCACTGGCAGTGGCCCTTCGGGCCCCCGCCCCCCCGCAGGGGCAGCAGCTCTCCCCACCTTCTGGAGGGAGCACGCTAGCTGCCCACAAGTCTAAGGACAGGCAGGCAATGCCATTGCTAGTCCTTACTTCGGCGCCTTTCCCCGGTGAGAAGGAGCGACACTCTCGCCCCAACTCACTGGAGAGGGCCTCCTCCAAAGAGCGGCACAACTCCCGTGCTGCTCCCCTAGTACCCAAGGGGTCGGAGCAGGCAGAGTGTAAAGACGCTCTGCCCAGCACCTCCGCTGCCTCCTCGGCTGGTCGCGTCCGGGGCCTGGCTCCCCGTGATCCAAGTCGAAAGAAAACGCTGGCCAACACCAGCGACACAACTCAAGAGGTAGACTTGTCCATGGAGTTAGACGATTCGGCTGCTCCTGCTTCTGACCCGGATAGTATGGAGTGGCAGACGCAGACTCGTGCAGGGAAGAACAAAAAACCGGTTACTGCGCCGAGGTAATCCAAGTGGTCTCTCTCCTGAGTTTTAACCTTTTAACTACCAAGTTTTATTAATTTACATTTTCCGATATATACAAATTTTGTAAATGACAAAAGTAAATTTTATGCAATGGAACTGTCGCGGACTTTTAAGAAATATTGATGATGTAAATCATTTCATGGATGAGCTTCGGCCGATAGCTGTTCCTCTTCAGGAATCTCCTCTTTATGACCGCTCTCCTCATATTTTAAGACGTCACCGAGTCTTTAGAAAAGACCGTCTTAGTGACACTCCCTCTGGTGGCGTGGCAGTGGTTGTGCAGGGTGGGGTTGCCTGCTCTGAGGTCCCACTCTGCACACCACTTGAAGCCGTGGCAGCTGCGCCTTCTTTTAGACCGCCTCATAACTGTAGTATCACTTTATTTACCACCTAACACTCCATTACATCTTAGTGAATTGCAGGGTCTTGTAGGTCAACTCCCACAACCCTTTATGATTCTAGGCGATTTTAATGCCCATCACCCCCTATGGGGTAGTATTCGTCAAGACACTCGTGGAGGTGTAGTTGAACGTTTTTTATTGGCATCTGGGCTATGCCTTCTTAATGGGAGAGAGCCAACATTTTTCAGTGCAGCTCACACCACATTTACATCCATAGATCTGTCGATCTCATCCCCCTCATTGTTTCCTTGCTTTACATGGAATGTTCTCAACAACCCTTTTGGCAGTGATCACTTTCCGATTGTTTTAGAGAGCGTTGTTCAGCTGCCCTCACTTTTTAAACGTATCCCTAGGAGGAAGTTAGATAAAGCTGACTGGTCACTTTTTGGGTTACATTCCACCTTGGACCCTTCTCTGCTTTCTTCTATGCCACCCGAAGATGCTACACTGTATATTACTGAGCAGATACTAAATGCTGCTGAGGTGTCTATTCCACGAACCTCTGGTAATGTGCCAAAAAAATGCAAACCATGGTGGAACAAGGAGTGTGCCACAACCTTAGCGGTTCAAAACAGGGCTTGGGGCAAACTTCGCAGATATCCCACATCATGTAATCTCGCAGAGTTCAGGCAGCGGAAAGCTAAAGCCCGTTGGACCAGGAAGCAGTCGAAATGGAAATCCTGGATGAAGTATGTTTCTTCTATAAATAGTTTTGTGCCTGCCAAGGAGGTTTGGGATAGATACAGGAAAATAAATGGAGATTACAGGTGCTTTGCAATCCCTACTTTTGATGCCCCTTCCTCATCTTTAGTTGACATCGGCAACATCCTTGGTGAACATTTTTATAACACATCCTGCTCGGCAAACTACAGTGATTCGTTCAGTAGATTTAAATCTCGTGCAGAGCGACAAAACATCCCCATATCTGGAGGAGACCCTGAGCCTTATAACCAGCCTTTTACACTGTGTGAACTTGAAATGGCACTTGACATAACGAGGGTTTCTGCTCCAGTGCCCGACGCAGTTCATTATGAAATGCTTCGTCGCCTTTCTCCTGAGTCCTTGAAAAGTCTTCTCTTGTTTTTCAATTTATTGTGGGAAAAAGCCTGCTTTCCCCATGACTGGAAGCATGCACATGTAATCCCGCTCCTAAAGCCACAGAAAGACCCTTCACTACCATCAAGTTACCGTCCCATTGCTCTGACGAGCTGTGTCGGGAAAACATTTGAAAGACTTATAAACAGGCGGTTAGTATACATATTAGAAAGCCAAAAGGTTCTTGACAAAA